GAAGGCAGTCGCTTAACCAACTGAGCCACCCAGGCGCCCTTCATTTCTTTTGTATCGGTGTATCTTTTTTTCAGTCCTTCTATTTATATATTTTTTATTATTTTCTTGTGTTTTTTTTAGACTATTGAATTTATGGAAACTTTTGTATTTGCTATTAAACTCCAAAGCCTACAAACTGTAAGGCTTGTATTTAAGATTCAAACCCAGACTCCCAGGAAGAAAACCATCGGAGAATGCTCACTATCACTCAGAACTCTCAGCACACAGGAAATGGATTACTCTTTGGATATAATGCCACCTTCAAAAATTTCTGTAAGTGATAGAACTATTTTGTGGGTGAGTTTTGGTTGGAGTGTAATTTGAACACTCTAGAATACACTAGAGGATCAGGAAGGCTCTCAAGAAGCAATAATAATAATAATGTCATTGTTAAATAATACTTTTTAAGTAATTGATAAAAGGTTAACAGAGACCCTTTGCCTTCTCTATTGCAAAATAACCTTAGGGTTACCTTCTCCTAGTACATTTTATTTAAATGTTTCATACTTGAGGGAAAATAATCCTGAAGTTAGTTAGCTGATAATTTAGGAATAGCAAGAAAGAATCATAAACTCCAAACTCAGAGATTGCCTTAAAATAGATTAGGAAGGTGCATGAGTAAGCTAAATATTTGTCCATAAATTGGGTAAAATGGAGGTTCTTACAGCTGGGGTGTTGTTTGTTTGTTTGTTTTGGTAAAGAACTTGATTATCTGTACCGCATATTGATTTCTGAGACCTGATTTTAATTCTCTTAACTAGCCAGCTGAACACTGTCTTTAAATTGTTTAGAAATCCCTAATAATTTAGTTCTATAGTTTTGTGTCAGGGTTAACAGTTATAGAAATCAGTCATAAGCTTCTATAAGGTCAAACCTATATGTGACTTTAAGTTTATATGGGATTTATATTTTACCTGCCTTCAAAAATATTTAATATAACTTTAAGTGAATCACCTGGGGAGCTTTACATGCCCACACCTAAACCAATTAAATCAGAATTTTGTGAGGGTAGGGGGCGAGGAGAGCTGGAGTAGGCCGGAAGCATCTGTAGTTTTCAGAAGCTTTCTGGGTGATTCTACGATGCAGCCTGGCTTGAGAACCACTGAATTAGAGGGGAATTAAATTAGAGATTAAAAAATAAAAAAACAAAAGATTTCTCTAATTGATCAAGAAGTGACATTTTTAATAGTTATTTCTTGTGTATTATTTTCTGTCTCCATCTCCAGTGTGTTCTCTGTACAGCATTTATTACAACTTAGAATTCAGTTACTTGTTTTAAACAAAACTAGGCTCAAGCTTCCATCTGTTTTCTTCATATTTTACTGTGCTTAGTAAGGGCCTGTGATATTCTTGGCATTGAGTATTGGTACATAGGTAGGTATGAAAGAATAAATGAATGAAAGCATGCTATATTAGATTATTTTTATATTCTGTTTAAATATAGCAAATTTGCTTTGTAACTGACAGGAGTTTGTCACCTGCATCTTTGAAATTAGCTTGGTAGACAGTAATCTGCAACCGTATTTTACAGAAGGCACAAATGTGCTGTTCAAGTGGATAATTCATATATTAAAACTTTAAAGACTAGTAGAGTATATCAAAAGATAACTTAGCAAAGCTATTTTCTGGGGAATTGAGATGTTAAAATCTTATCTGCCTTGGAGAATCTGAATAAATGATTATGGCTAAGTTTCCACCAAATTATTTCATGTATTAGAGGTCTTACAAACATTTGTGTATCTGTTGTGTGCTAGGTGCTAGGGATACAAAAAGATTGATGGCCTGAAAGAAGAGCTATACTGGACTGGTGAATTTATGTTACTCAGGGTGAATGTTTCATTTATTGGCTAATGCAAAAATAGTAAGCTTTGTTTCCTGTGTCAAGGAGGAAAATTGATACTCTGATGGTGAAAGTGACAGAGCCAGACTTACACACTGATGACTATGTCACCACAAACAGCAGAAGTTTCGTGTAGAGCTAATGTTTTCCTTGGTACAGAATTGTTGACCTTGACAAATAGTAATGGAAGTATTTATTTGAGAACCCAGATTTCTGTGTTGAATAATGCGGAAGAGGTTCGCAGGCAGAAATAGCTGGTATTTACCCTTAACCACACAGCTGAGGTGGTGTTAGGTGACTTAATGCTCACACCAAACTTAGGAGCTTTCCGCTCTTGTTATCCCTACCGTGGAGACCAACACATTGAAGCACTTGCCTGGTTTCCTCCAGCTGGTAGTTGGTGAGCCAGGATTTGAACAGAAGCACTGATTCCAGGACCGGCTCTCTTAGCTCGACTGTATATCGCTCCCGCCAAGGAGATATTCTCCAACATCACCAGATCATGGTTTCCTCCAATTATGCTTAACTTGTCACTTTCAACAACAATTCTAGGAAGGCTCAGAAAGTTTTCTTTTCTTTGAAAAATGATACATTATTCAGGACCAGAGATCATATCTTGTATCTTCCACAGTTTTGTGCCCATTAAAAATGCACTGAATATATACCTGCTGACTGATTGGAATTTTAATTTTTTGGTGATTGGGAGATTGACAGCCACTTTGAATAGTTTTTCATGATCTAAATTAACATCCTGGAACATAATAAGTAAGTTGAATAAGTAAGTTGAATTCCAAAATGACACTGGCAAGTTAGGAATGGCCGACCCTTTGCCAAATGCTGCTCGGTGAGAGTGAGCTCTACGAGTGTGTAACATTGAGGGAAGTTTTTGCCACCATTAGGTATTTTCATAAGTATGATCACATTATGGGTACAAAACCATAATAGAAACATTTTATCCATAGTTTCCTTGTTTTGTGAACAGTAAGTAATGTCCTTTTTAATCTATTTTTTTAAATGCTGAGAACAGGAGCATTTTTTTTTTTTTTTTTAACCAGCAAAGACTTTAATTTATTTTAACTTTTCCCTTCTCTGTATCTCCTTCATTTCATTGTTTGCCTCAAGTTTTCTTTGACCTTTTCCTTATTATTTACTGCCTCATCACTTTCACTAGCTCACTTCTTGCTGACTTTCTTCTTTGGCTGGCTGTCATTCAGCATAGTAATTCAGCTCTTAGCCCACACATTTGTTCCTTGTAGTAATCCTTTTTCTTCTGAGTTGGGTAGCACCTACTGTCATGTCTACAATTAGGAAAAATAATGGTGATTTTCATATTGGAAACTTTTTATTGTAATTTGTGTATTCTTAAAAATAATTCAAGTGACTACATTTAAGTGTTTTGGAAGTGTGCTTTTTTGGTGTTTATTTTGGTGACATTTTCCTTAGTACAGCTGCTTAGGAATTTAATTTGTGTTCAATTTGAATTGTCTTTTGACTGCCCTGATTTTGAAGGATCAAGGATGTAGGTGTGACTTGGATTTTCAGAATCCATGAAAAGTGAGTACCTCATATTTGCAGAATTCATGACATTTATCCTAACCATCTTTTAGATCATAGCTTTGTGTGTCAATAAAAAGCAGTGTTTTCAAAACTTCTAACTGTAGCTCTTTATGTCTGAATTTTTGAAATGTCCCCAAAACCTTATTTTTAATTCTCAAATGGCACTTTTTTGATACCCAGGTTTGCCATGCAGAACTTCAACTGGGGACTTGTTTTCAAGCCGTAAATAGCAGAATTCAGTTACAAATTCTCGAGGCACAGTACCTCCCAAGCTCTTCAACACCTCTCACTTTGAGTAAGTAAATCCGTGGTTCAAAATGGAATCTTCAGAAAATATTACTAAAAGGTAGTTTATCCTACATTTCTTAATAGTGGACATTAAAATCTTAGATACTTTTGTTATTTAACTTAAATACCTTTAACTTAAAATTACTTTATTAGATTTCAAATTTTAGCCATTGTGCCTCCTTTAATCCATGGTCGCTTGGTTTCTTGTTTTGTTTTGTTTTTTTTAAAGATTTTATTTATTTATTTGACAGAGAGAGACAGCGAGAGAGGGAACACAAGCAGGGGGAGTGGGAGAGGGAGAAGCAGGCTCCCCGCAGAGCAGGGAGCCCGATGCGGGACTCGATCCCAGGACCCTGGGATCATGACCTGAGCCGAAGGCAGTTGCTTAACCAACTGAGCCACCCAGGCGCCCTTGTTTTGTTTTTAAAGATTTTATTTTTTGACAGAGAGAGACAGCAAGAGAGGGAACACAAGCAAGGGGGAGTGGGAGAGGGAGAAGCAGGCTTCCCGCGGAGCAGGGAGCCCGATGCAGGGCTTGATCCCAGGACCCTGAGATCATGACCTGAGCCGAAGGCAGATGCTTAACGACTGAGCCACCCAGGCCCCCCTTGTTTTGTTTTTTTATTAACATATAATGTATTATTTGTTTCAGATGTATAGGTCTGTGGTTCATCAGTCTTACACAATTCACAGCGCTCACCATAGCACATACCCTCCCCAATGTCCATCACCCAGCCACCCCATCCCTCCCACCACCCCCCCCACTCCAGCAACCCTCAGTTTCCTGAGATTAAGAGTCTCCTATGGTTTGTCTCCCTCTCTGGTTTCGTCTTGTTTCATTTTTCCCTCCCTTCCCCTATGATCCTCTGTCTTGTTTCTCAAATTCTTCATATCGGTGAGATCATATGATACTTGTCTTTCTCTGACTGACTAATTTCGCTTAGCATAATACCCTCTATTTCCATCCATATCATTGCAAATGGCAAGATTTCATTTTTGATGGCTGCATAATATTCCATTGTGTGTGTGTGTGTCTGTGTGTGTGTGTACACACCACATCATCTTTATCCATTCATCTGCATGCTCACTTGGTTTTTATCCATTTGATGCTATTCCTTATTGATCTCATTAGTTAATATAGGTTGAGTGTCCAGAGGACGGTCTGATATATTTCACCAGCCTAGATAATTTATCCTTTCTCTGGTTCGCCCTTCGTTGAATGTTCTGCTAACCAGAAACTTAATTAAAAAAACAAAACAAAACTGAAAATATCAAACACAAACCTTGAAACACTTTTCCTTCCCTGTGCCTTGGGGCACAAGAAGGGTTCTACTTTGCGTTGTGTAGGCTTGGCTCACGTGGCTGTTCCTAGAGCTGGGGTTTGTGGTCAGTTGTACCTGAAGGGCTAAGAGTGGGGTAAGAGTGCTCCTTTATTCTGCTACAAGAAGAGAGAATATTGGGAGGCAGGCCAAAGCAATGGATGTCCACCATAACTACAAAGACTGAAAATAAATGCAACTGAGCATTCAGTTCAGGAAGCTAGGAAAACAACAGCAAACACAAGGGAAGGTAGAGGTAAGGAATTAAAGGTAAAGTTGAAGTTGATAATTATGGAGACAACAGCAAAAGACATAATCAATAAAACCAAAAGCTTTTTCTTTGAAAAGATCAGCGAAATAGACAAACCTAGAGTAAGCTGGATTGAGCAAAAAATAAAGAAAACATGAACAAGGAAGAGGATAACATCTCAAATTCAGAAGAGGTTCGATAATAAGATAATACCATTTAAAACGATACCAATTCATTTGAACATCTATATAAAATAACTGATTTTCAGAGAGAAAAAAAACTGTTGAAATTCGCTCCAAAAGAGGGAGAACAGCTGAAAATGATAACCATGTGTAGGTAGTTAAAGAATTGCCTCTAATAAAAGCACCAGGCCAAGATGATTTTACTGGTGGAGTCTACCAAACTTTCAAGGAACATTGAATTCCTATTTTATATAAGCTGTTTCAAAGCATGAGAAACGATGGAAAAACTAACTTTACGAGGTGAGCATATTCTCAATATCAAAACAGAAAAGACAATGCATAGAAAAAATAGCTATAGACTATTACCACTTATGTAGATAGATGGAAAAATCATAAAATAAAAATAAGCAAATAAAATCCAACTTGGCATGAAAAGAATAAATTACCAGGACTACATCGGGTTAGTTGTAGGAAACAAGGATGTCAGTACAGATGTGGTCTATTACATTAAGAGGTGTCTTTCTTTAATCAACACTGCTAATTGGGGTTATCCATGATCTGCATTTTGTAAATCTAATGGTCCGTCTAGGTCCTCACTTTACAGCCCCCTCCTTTCTGGGAGTTCCCTCCTCCCTTTCTTTTTTTTTTTTTAAGATTTTATTTATTTGCGAGAGAGAGAATGAGAGACAGCATGAGAGGGAGGAGGGTCAGAGGGAGAAGCAGACTCCCTGCTGAGCAGGGAGCCTGATGTGGGACTCGATCCCGGGACTCCAGGATCATGACCTGAGCCGAAGGCAGTCGCTTAACCAACTGAGCCACCCAGGCGCCCGTCCCTCCTCCCTTTCTTGCTGCCCTGGCAGTTCCAGCTCTATCCCATGACGACTCAAACTGGTCAGACTGCACTCTCTGCCTGAGCTGTGGGCCCCGTGTGTCCGCCAGACGGGGGAGGATGCTAAGGTGGAAAGCTGCATAAACCTGAACATTAGCCAGTGTGGTTACCATCTTTTAAGACTTGACACTCCTCCAGTTTCTTCCTGCGTTTGTCAATCTTTAATGTCTTGAACAGTGGTTTTTTTGTTTTGTTTTGTTTTTTAATATATTTTTCCCAGAGTTTATAATTGTTATCTATGGGAAGGTTAGTTCGTACAACTATTACTAGAAGCTCTCCGTCTCAATTTAAAGAATAGATTTTCTCTAGCAGGCCTATGTTTAACTTCTGGAGTCTCAAGCAGAGAGTTGTACCTGCATAAAATTGGGAAATAAATCCCTCCCACTGTCCAAAGAGTTGGCCCCTCTCTGTTGTGTAATACTTTTCAGTGTGTACTCCCCTACTGCTGATTGTTATGTATGCCTGCAATTTCCAGTCTTTAATGGCATTCAGGTTAGAGGAAGATTCAGTTCATTTGAGGTCGCTGTCGTCCTTTGTAAAGTGTGATTAAAATGATAAAGTTTACTAGCAGCATTTTTACTGTATGACAGTAGCTCATCAGGTCTTTGTAAGTGGCTTATATATTTTCACACCAAATACAATATATAGGTATATATCTTTATATGGGATTTAAAATAAAATTTTACATATCAAATTTCTTATTTTTTAGGTTTTTTTGTGAAGGTGGGAATGTTTAGTTCAGGAGAGTTGATTTATAAGAAGAAGACACGCTTACTGAAGGCCTCCAGTGGAAGAGTAAAGTGGGGAGAAACTATGATTTTTCCACTTATACAAAATGAAAAAGAAATCCTTTTTCTCATCAAGCTTTATAGTCGGAGCTCTGTAAGAAGAAGACACTTTGTGGGGCAGGTTAGTAGTGAGTTTCTATCTTGAATTCTTTCCTTGAACTTCTCTGTGCATTGAAACAGTTGGTTAACAAAAGGAATATAGGGTAAAATTGAAGTTGAATAGAGTAAACTTCTACAGCATCATAAATTAAAATTTAATGTTGCCACAAAAATGAAATCCTGTCAGATTTTGCTTTCATACAAATAGTTGGAATTTCTGTGCAGTTAGGTTTCTTATCTTAAAAATCTTTTTCTGAGCTTCTCAATTATAAATACTATAAGAAGGATCAGTTTTTCTGTACCATTGACTGGTTAATGGCATTAATGCTAAGTATTTATTTTTCCTCTATCCAATACCATTTATTTATTTATTTATATTTTTAATATAATTTTTAAATTTAAATTAATTAACATATAACATTATCGGTTTCAGAGGTAGAGGTCAGTGATTCATCAGTCTTATAGAATACCCAGTGCTCATTACATTATGTGCCCTTCTTAATGCCTGTCACCCAGTTACCCCATCCCCCTGGCCCCACCCCTCCAGCAACCCTCAGTTTGATTCCTATGATTAAGAGTCTCTTATGGTTTGTCTGGCTCTCTTATTTCGAACACTAATTATTTAAATCAAAATTTTTAAGGCTGCAGATGTCCAACTTACTTCATTTTGTTTCATGTTCAGTTTAGTGTTTAACTCTGTATGCTATTAACTGAATTATGTTAGATTCGAATTCCTAGAAAACATTAGTTTTGGCAGTGGTCATGATGGTATTTAGATAGTTGATTTTGGTGTCTGGATTACTCTATTTAAAAATTCTTAGTAGTCCAGGGGCGCCTGGGTGGCTCAGTTGGTTAAGCGACTGCCTTCGGCTCAGGTCGTGATCCTGGAGACCCAGGATCGAGTCCCGCATCGGGCTCCCCGCTCAGCGGGGAGTCTGCTTCTCCCTCTGACCCTCCCCCCTCTCATGTGCTCTCTCTCTCTCAAATAAATAAATAAAATTTAAAAAAAAAATGAAAAAAAATTCTTAGTAGTCTGTGTAAGACAACATAACACTTGCTTACTTGCCAATCCTATGGGGACTTGTTTCCTTTGTAGTTTCTTTTACTCTGAGCAGATTAATGGTAGCTGTCCATTATCTTTTATCTTAATTATGATTGTTTGATTTCCATTTAAATTCTAAAATATACATTATTGGTTTAAAAGCTTTTGCTTGATAACAAGATGTTATTAGCAGTCTACATGAAATCCTCAAATTATATGTGAATATTCAAAGGTTGATAATAACTGACTCACTTCTTCATGCATTTTACTTAAAATATTTGTATAAAAAATCTATAGTTTTGTTCTTCATTTATTCCTATTTGGGAAGGAATTTGGACTCAAGAATTCGTATAAGTAGCATGCTTTTCAAGGACTTGAGGCCTATGAAGTGCGTTCAGTTAAAGTTTTCCTATATCCTCAAGCCCCGGTTATCATGTATGAATGGAATGGGCAATTTCCTTGACAGGTGATTTTCAAGATAACTTTTTTGGTGATTCCACTTTCTTGGTTGAGAGTCTAGTTAAGAATTACAATTCTGGAAGGGATCTTGCTGGCTCTCTGTTCCTGTGGCTTCTCTGGTATCCTCAGGAACCACTATGGTGGGGGAGCCAAATGCAGACTCAAGGTCTCCCACTCATATTAGCCAAAGAACCCTGGTGTTACCTGTTTCATATATTAGGTTCTTTGTAAGATTTTATTTAAAGGAAAAGTTCTTCAGACTAGGAAATTAAGGGGAAAAAGTTTGAAAATCAGTGACCTGCTCCAATTTCTTTATTTAAAAGAATTAGAAACTGAGTCTCAGAGAAGTTAATTCCTGTTAGTGCTAAAGCTGAGGTGAGCATTCAGCCTTCGTATTCCTTGTCCCCCTTTGCCTCTGGGCAGGTGTGATGTCTTATGTCTGCATAATGCTCTGCACTTGTTCTCAAGTTCATTTATATCTATTACCTAAAGTTATGGTTTAGATTTCAGTTAAAAATCACAGCTTTATCTAATGTAAAAAGTCCTTTAAAATGTACATTTCTTACGAGTCTAACTTAAATCATGATTAGTCTCCGTTTATTCTCACAAAAATGATTTTGAATGGTTGGGATCAATTGTAAGTTGAGCTCCTAGATTTATTCAGTAACGAAGGATACTAATTACTGTTTTGGGAGAAATGATTTTAGAATATCTCACATCCAATTTTGAAGTTGGATTGGATCATATAACATTAGTCTTCAGAGTGACTAAACAGGTTAAGTGTTTTGACATATTTTTGGAAAAATGGAAAGATTGTTTAATTGAAAAATATGTGAGCCAGCCTTCCACTTGTCTTTCATCAGTAAGAGGAATTAACTGAACTCAGTTGCTGTTCTCGTGTTAAGTTAAATGATTGTACTGTTCCTTTACAGATTTGGATAAGCGAAGATAGTAATCACACCGAAGCAGCGAGTCAGTGGAAAGAGACAGTTACAAATCCAGAAAAGGTTGTTATCAAGTGGCACAAATTAAACCCATCTTGAAGACATCACACGTTAATTTGGTGAAGAACTTGACATTCTTTTAGAAGACTTACGATTTCAATTTGCTACCAAGGAGGAGAGACAAATCAATACATTTGTCAATGTATTTATGGAGGTCATAATTACAATTGATAATGGATCTTATGGAAAATTAAATTTGATTAAAAAATGGGATGAATTATATAGAATATCCAAAGTAAAGGGAATGTTTTAAAACTTGCCAAAATAGACAGTAAAATAAAGAGTAGTATGCTGGGGCAACTAAATAAGTTACACAATCAATGAGAATTTCAACCATAGGTCGTTATTGCTATATTATGTTTATGGGTTTTTTTTAAAGCTTTACCTAGGTATTAAAAATCTAGTATATCAAATCTCTGTTAGTACTGTTAGAATGTAGAAGACTTTACTACTGATTATTTCAGTGCTAGTCATTATTGATTAGATCTTGACTCCAGTGTTTACCTCTTGCTATATATTTTCTCGCAGAAAGGAAAAATGAATTAAACCGCTTCAACTCTTCTGTATTTGGGGAAAATTTGTGCCCTGTTTTTCTCATTTCTTACCCATAAGGCGTCATATTGCCACTTTGTAAATTATTTATCTCCAAGAAACTTCAAATTTAAAACACTGTATTTTGGCAAGAATAAATGAAAACACCAGAAGGTTGAAGTTAAATTGGAAACCTAGTGTATACACATTTTGCTATATGTTTTCCTCTCTCAAGTATTTTACCCTTTGTTTTAATTGGAGTTAGAGTAAGATTATCATCCATATGGTCCATCCTAATTAGCAGAATTAAATGAGCTTAATTAGCAAGTTCAATATTTTATGATAATCATTTCCTTCTTTTTAGTTTTTTAAAATATAAGCTATTTGTTCTATAATCCATGACATTATTTTCCCATGATTTTAAAGAAACCACATTGTAGTAAATTCTTTCTTGCTTTTTTTTTTTTGTGGGGAGGGGCAGAGGGAGAGTCCTGGAGAGAGAGAATCTTAAGCGGGCTCCACGCCCAGTGCAGAACCCAGTGTGGGGCTCGATCTCACGACCCTGAGATCATGACCTGAGCTGAAATCAAGAGTTGGATGCTTAACCAACTGAGCCACCCAGATGCCCCGCAAATATTTTCTATTGCAGTTTCTCTCAGGTACTCGTTAGAAGTCAGTATGTGGGCATAATGTCAGGTTAGTTGGCTATTCAAGCTATGGCCAAAAAGAACAGCTGTTTGGAGAAACAAAGAATTCCATCTTTGATCTTGGAAAGTCCGACTTTAGTTTTGCTAATGAGTGGACCAAGTGCTCTGTGATTATGGTCTTCCATTTTTCTTTCTCTCTTACCTTGTTCTACAGATGCCAAGAGATAGATGGTGATATTTTAGGCCAGAAGATACTTTGGTATAGCTTCAGCATATCCTCTTCATTCTAGTTCTTATGGTCTGCATATCTCATTAAGATTTTCTCAAATAAACAATTCCTCTTTTCCTAGGTACCATGTGTGCAAGGTACAAAATATACGTAGTTTACGTGTCCTTTGCTTCCACTCCCTAGGGTTTATGTTATACAGTTGACAGGGACTCTCTAACACTGCATTTGGAAATAATTTTTTTTCTTAGATTTGTGAAAAATGGCATATTGGTCAGAACTCACATGAACTTTCAAGAGAAATCACCTTGTATGGTAGTGTTTTAAATCTTTGAGACAAATGACTTTATTTTTTAGAGCAATTTTAGGTTCACAGCAAAATTGAGAGGAAGGAAGTACAAAGAGTTCCCAGATACCCCTTACCCCCACATACACACAGCCTCCCCCGTCATAAGCATCTCCCACCAGCGTGATAACATTTGTTAAAATCAATGAACATACATTGACACAGCATTATCACCCGAAGTCTGTAGATTACATTAAAGTTCATTCCTGGTATTGTCCATTCTGTGAGTTTTAACAAGTGCATAATGTCATATATCCACCACTCTAGTATCATACAGAGTAGTTTCACTGCCTTAAAAATCCTCTGGAAATGCACCTATTCTAATAGCCACCAAATAAGTGTATTGGCTTTTAGATAATAAATAACAGATGTTGTTTTAAAAAAATCTAGAATTTTATTTGGCTGATTTTTTTTGTGTTCTATTAAAGCTCTCAATTCCTAAATTATAGGTAGTCATGTATTTAACTCAATTTTAAATTATTTAATTTTTAATATTTTTGCAATATGTATATAATGTATAATTTCAGAGAAAATGTGATTTCTTGGTTTCTTGTATGTCTTAGAATCCTAGGTAAATTAAAAAAAAACCTTTTCATTTAAAAGACTTTTCAGTTAGGCTAGTATTGATACAGCTAAGGTCCCAAATATTTTAATTAGTTTTACTTAAGCCTTTTTCAGGTGTAAGAGGTACCGAATGCAGATGATATTCTGGTCGTTCCTTTGAAGCTTTGCATGAAATATAAAAAGAAACACACTCTTCTGTTAATAGCTGTTCATATTATGAGAAAAACATTAGAAGCTGGTAATAAAAAATGAGACGGTAAGCAAAAATCACTTGTCTTTGTTTTTGCTTAAGCATTTCTTTTTTTTTTTTTTTAAGATTTTATTTGTTTATTTGACAGAGAAAGAGACAGTGAGAGAGGGAACACAAGCAGTGGGAGTGAGAGAAGGAGAAGCAGGCTTCCCGCTGAGCAGGGAGCCCGATTCAGGGCTTGATCCCAGGACCCTGAGATCATGACCTGAGCCGAAGGCAGATACCTAATGACTGAGCCACCCAGGTGCCCCAGCTTAAGCATTTCTTGACCTTTACTCACTTATAACAAGGAGAAGGGAATCAAAGTGATGCTGGATGACCAGAGGAAGCCATGGAAGGGTTCCCATGGATAGCTGATAGTTTGTACAACTCATCCTTTACATTGTGCTTATTTATAAGCTTTCCAGTTGATACAGTTGGGTAGCTGCAGCCCATGTCAAAATACGTCATCACTATTTGGCTTTCATTTGGTTTTGCATGATTTTTGGGTTTTTTTTAGCAGACTTCCTAGAGAAATTATCATTGAAGTATATCAGTTCCAGCACTTACCAGACTGTTAAGAAGGAACCAGTGGGATTTTGAACATGTAACTGTGATCTGAAAATAACCTAAAATGAACTTCTGCTTGAAAGTAGTTATGTGAATTGCTCTGATAATGTACTGAAACTATATTTCCCAGCAAAAATTTCTATTGTTTGTTTGATCAAATCATCGCTTATTTTTTAAGGATTTTAGAAATTTTCAGTAAATGTCACCATTTTATATCATGGCAGTAATGGATACTTTTTTTTTTTGAAACTTTTGTAATAGATATTTCAAAGGATATATATTTCCTTTTGATATTTGGTGAGGTATATTGAGGGAAGTACCAGATAAAATATCTGTATGTACACTGTATTAGGGTTTTTCAGAGAAACAGAACCAATAGGATGTATGTATATCTAAAAATATATGTATTTTTTAATTACGAGAAATTGGCTCTTGTGTTTATGGAAGCTAAGAAATCCCACAATCTGCCATGAAGGCTGGAGACCCAGGAAGTCCAGTAGTCTAGTTCAGTCTGAATCTGAAGGCCTGAGAACCAGAGGAACCAATGGGATGAATCCCAGTGTGAGGGCAGGAGAAAGGGATCAATTCCTTCTTCATCTCCCTTATGTTCTATTCAGGTGCTCAGCAGACCAAAAGATGCCCACCCACATTGAGGAGCACGATTTACTGAGCCCACTGATCCAAATGCTAATCATGTCCAGAAACATCCTCTTAGACACACCTAGAAATAACGTCATGTGGGCACCCCTGGCCAGTCAAATTGACACATAAAATTAACAGACATCTACTAGTGTTCTCTTGATGGGTCAGCTGAAATTAGTGTTCAATAGTCAACCTCAAATGCTTGAAGTGTTGGTTGAAACATTTGAGTTGAGGAAAGAATTATGAAAAGTGAATGTATATGAAGTACCATGTCCATGTTGAAATAGAGGTTTAGTGTTTAAAAGATACTAAAAGAGTTAATGTTGCCCTCCAAAATTGGATATTTTGTCTGAAGACGAATGCTGCCTACATTTTAAATCATATCCTGGTAGAATTTTTTTAACTTGGCAATTACTGATTTTTAACTTTCTCATGTATAGAAAATCTGATCTCTAAAATAACTATTATTAGTTAAAACTGGTAACTAAATTATAGAATGATAACTGTATTAACTGTATGACTATATTAAACTGTAGGACTCTGATAATAGCAGTAGATGTCCAGAAAGAAAGTTCTATATGTCTTCTCAGGTGTCTAAAAGGTATCTGATTACATGCATAGCTAAATCACTGAGTAAGATATGTCTTTAGATGAAGATGGGGTTTATTCAGTATTGATTTTCATATTCTCATGCTGTGGAATTTGTTTTCTGAGCCACCATTCTTTAGTTTCTGAGGCAGGAGGATGATAAAAAATATCTGTTCATGATAGAACTAGATTTATTTTAACAGATTTTGTTGACTGTGGCTCTTACTGTCTTTTAGTTTAATTTCTGGGTCTTTAATATTTCTTGATTAATGCGCTGTATGGAGACTTGATCTTGAAACAACTAAATTTTTAAATGAGCTATTTTATATACTTAATAATTAACTGTAAAAATATCTATATAGTACTTTTTGCAAAGAACTGTTGTAGGTGCTTGCAGGGACAGAGATGAATAAGCCATCACTCTTTACTCTGGGTTTTATATTTTAGTAGGGAAATAAAATAGTATAAAGCAGAATTGTAGTAAAAAGCAGGATTCGAGGTATGGACAACATGCTTTAGAGGCTCAAATAAAATCAAATGCAGCTGAAGGAATTAGCATCTCTGATTTTTTTTTTTTTTTTTTTTTTAAGTAGGCTCCATATGCAATCTGTTGGAACATCCAATGCTGAGATCAAGAATCACACAGCCAGCCAGGTGCCCCTGCAGATGAAGGAGTTAGGAAAACTTTGGTAAATCTCTGATTTGGAACACCCAAAACCAGGCAGATTGGTGGAACTGTTATTGGTCACTCTGATTCTGCCTGACTGGGAGTCTTGCTTTATTTATTTTGTCAGCTGAAGTCACTGTGAAAAAGTTTATATTTCCTTCCACTCTCTTCTGACCTTCGGCCCACCTGCTCCTTTCTTGACTCTCAGTGGAACATCTTATTTCATGCCTCACAAAGAAAACAGTGTCAGGCATTCTTTCCACTTTCCACCATCATATCCACAAGCTTATTTTTATCCACATCCATCCTCCATGATGTTAGAAAGTCAGTCAGTTCTTGTGAATTCTGAATCCAGTCCTCTGCTTTTCCAGGGATCTCATTCCATTTGTTATACCTATTTTCTCTACTATTCCTTGAGTCCCTCCTTCTCTACTGGGTTCTTCTAGCGTCATTCCAACCTCCCTGGTGCATGCGCGACTGTCTCAGGATAGGTGGGTGATGTGTCCAGTGGAAAGAACCCAATGGATATCATCTTGGGGATTAAGTCTGTACTGATGAGGAAGCTGT